ATTAGAATGTCGAACGTTTAAGACAGCTCCGATGGAAATGTCAGAAGCGTCGACCATAACACTCAGCTTTTGGTTAGGAGAGTGATAGGAGAGAGTTGCAGCATTACTAAGGTCGTGTTTACATTTTTCAAATGCCTGATTAAGTTCGTCGTTCCAAGGAACAGGGACGTTTATCATTTTTACGTGAGTCTTTTAAGAGTTCATTCAGTGAAGCTTGGGTCTCGGCTGCCTTTGGTAAGAAGAGCGGCGATAAAAGTTTATCATGGCTAAAAAACGTCTGAGCTCGACAATAGTGGTAGGTTTCGGGAAATCGGCAATTGCTTTTGTTTTCTCAGGCAGGGTTTTACACCTGAGGCAGTAATGAGGCAACCTAAAAATGAAACAGATGGTTTTCCGAGTACACATTTGTTAGGGTTTAATGTCAAACCATGTTTATTCAAACGATCAAACACTTGACGAAGATGACGGATGTGCTCTTCTTCGCTAGTCGATGCAATAAGGATGTCGTCAAAATAAGGGATGCAAAAATCCAATCCAAATAAAACTTCATGTATAAAACGTTGGAAAGTTTGGCCTGAATTTCGTAAACCAAACGGCATAGCCAAAAATTCAAAAAGACCAAAAGGGGTTGTGACGGCAGTTTTCGGAATGTCTGCAGGGTTAACAGGAATTTGATGATAGGCACGTGCTAAATCAAGTGTTGAGAATATGTTCTTTCCTGAAAACATTTGAGTGCAATCCTGAATATGGGGTACGGGATAGCGATCCGGAATTGTAACGGCATTTAAGCGACGATAATCCCCGCACGGTCGCCAGTCGCCATTAGCCTTACGAACCATGTGCAGGGGGCTTGCCCAAGGACTTTTTGAAGGCTGAATGATGCCTTTTGATAGGAGAAAAAATCAAACTCTTGACGTGCAGCTTGAAGTAATTCTGGAGATAATCTTCTAGGTTAATGGAGGGAGGTCCTTTAGTTTCAATGTGGTGGAAAATCGTTGACATTGGTGGCCTCTCAAAAGTTTGCGAAGGATTCGTCAAGCTAGGGTAATCGGCAAGAATTTTGTCAAATTTTGAGTTACCCATCAAAATATGAATGCTAGTACTGAGCGGGTTCACATTAAGAAGTCTACCGCAAGAATATAGTTTTGTTTGTCCATCAATTAAAAACGGTTGTTTTTAACGTCTATGAGTAAGTTGAACTCTGTGAGAAAGTAAACACCTATGATGGGTTGATTGACGTCTGCCAGAATAAAAGGCCAAGTAAATGAGCGACGTAAGTTTAAATTAATGGTCAAAAGTTTGGTGCCATACGCTGCAATTTTAGTGCCGTTAGCAGCAAAGAGTTCCAATGCAGTTGGTATTTTGGCATGCTGACTGTAACTCTTGGGAATCAATCAATCAAAATTTGTACACCTCTCCTGCGAATGTTACAAAGGGAATCGGATCAGGCAAAGGTAGGCCACATAAAACGAATCGACTCATGGACTGAGTCGTGGGACACAAATCAAAACTTAGCCTCAGCCCAATTTTAAAAACCATTAGGAGTTTGAAACTAATTCCTAATGTCTGAAGTACGGGTCCCAACCGGATCTTATTCAGACTGAATAACTCCAAAAAAACCTCGCTTACTGGGCCGGGGAGGGGTCACCACTCCTGTTCTCGGCTTTTCGACGGATGTGACCTGAAAACCTGATGGACTGACGGTCGTTTAAATGCTCCCGCCAGTACTACACAGGAGCGGTCCCATCAGGACATTACCTTAGCAAACCTCGGTGCCGTCCCATACCAAGCTACAGAACCATCATCTACGTGGTTCACGCCAGTTCCTCGGGTCCAGCCATACAGACGATTAAATCCCGGGCTCTGGAACCGCCAGGCTCCTGATTTTATACCCCCGTAGCCGAGACTGCCTAGGTACATAACTCTTGGGAATGACAGATAAATCGGCTCCGGTGTCAAATAAAAAAAGTCAGCTTTGAGGATGAATCGGCCAAAAGAATTCGATTGATGTGGCGGTCGCAACGTTGGCCGGCAAGCGATCGCCGATCTAGTTTTCCGACTGCTGGAAATTGAACTGAGAAACACGAAAATCGTGCCTTGGAACCAAATTTAGTATGCTAGAAACAGATGTTGTTGCACGGTTCTTTATACTGTCGATAGCGTCCACTAGATCTATTACGCCTACTGTTGCGTTTGGAATAGTCTCTTCGTTCACAGGAACGCTCACGGCTGTTTTTGAGGGCTAGCGAAAGTTCATTTACCTGCTTTGTCAGCTCTGCAACTTGCTGTTCAATGGGAGAGGTAGATGCCGTAGCAGCACTATTTATGTGCGGGAGAGTTGTGAGATCTGTAATTTTATCAGCTACAACTGCTAGTTTTGGAAGATCATCACTTAAGGCAGCAAGAATACTTTGTGTATTTTGCGGGAGACGAGATATCCATAGGGATTTCAACAAAGGTTCTCCAACGGTCTCTCCAGCGAGGTTTCGCATACGGCAAAGTAATTGTGATGGGCGTTGATCGCCAAGTTCTAGCCCTTGAAGAAGTGTACGTATCTTTGACTCCTCACTTTCAGAATGCAATTCAATTAAGCGTGTTTTTAGTGTATCATATTTGCCAGTCACAGGTGGGTGTAAAACGATATCACAACGCTATTGAGGATATCAGATTCGATTGCAGATATCACACATGATTGAATTTCGTGGAGTCAACAGTGATTCCGGCAATATCAAACTGGGCTTCTAGTTGTGCAAACCACAAAGTAGGGTTGACCTTCCAAAATAGGGGAGGTTTGACGGAAACACGTGAAATATTAAGATCGTCTGCGATGGGTTGCGGTGGAGCCATGATTCACAAAAAAATATATATATTGCCAATATGACACAAATAAATACACAATAATCAGTCACTAATAAGTTCACATACGACACTAGTGCAAAATAAATAATGTAAACATTAACGTGAGAGAAACACTTTTGCAGGTAAGCTATCCGAATATAAGCATAAGTAATACTAAGAATTTGCGTGGCTTACCTCCGAATTATACGAGAAATATTTGCTCAGTCAGCAGCAGATTCAGCACAACACAATTCACTTATAGAAAAAATATTCCGAAAAAACTTATTTTATGATATGTAACCACGTTGTACGATTTATATGGAGATCACTTCAAAGCACTTTGACGATTTGCATGAGACACATGATAATTCACAAGCACGTTGTTAAGCAGGCACAACTGTTTTTCACACTATATTGCTGATGACATGAAAATAATGATGGATTACGCTAGTAGTTTGCATGAACAGAAATAATTTTCACTTCATAGCACATTATAATCACAGAACTTGAGGATGCAAGCAGGTTACAGGAGGCACGTGTTCACTAACTTGACGAGTCACCATTTATGGCTGTTGTTAATGGATGCCATTTTTCATTGCACGTTGAATGTTAACAAAATCTGACTCGGTAATATTAACATTTATATTTAATTCTAGGATGACATATATTTTAACATATATTCACTTATACACAATCACATTGCATGTAGTTAGTTACAAGATGAGCATTTTTCAGTTCGCAAGTCCGCATGAGTAAAAATCATAAAATCAAGTCATATTATAGCTACGATAACATCACGGGGGGAAAGAGAGGTGAGTGCGTGCTTCACCGACGGCAGCCAGGAACCGAGTAACCAGTTCGAATTTTCCTTCAGAGAGGAAGAGGGAGAAAGCTGGTAGCGCCCTCTCTCGGGGCAGCGGACAAATAATAATAATAAAGAGTTTTCCACAATATCAACATTTATGGAATAAAAACTTTAAGTGATGACTGCGTAGTAATGCTTTATGTTAACCTTATACTTATTAATACTTAATTGAATAAAATTAGATGCCTCAGGTTATTTCAGTATACTGCAGACTTAGCAGAAAGCTGTCGAACTGAAAAATCATAACGTTTGTATAAATATAGTCGTTCGATTTACTTCTGTGTACTACTTATATGAGGGCCCACCAGCGGCCGAGCGGTAAAGTCGCTGAATACTGATAGTTCGGTCTGAGGTCCGAATCCCGCGAACGGGCTGGCTGCATGGGTGTTTTCGTGGTTTTCCCCATGGCTAACGTGTATACGAGCCAGTTTCCCTTAGAAAGAAGGCATCCCTTCCCTTAGGCAGATAGCCCTAGTGTGCTTTGCCATAATTAAATACACCAACACCAAGTACTACTTATATGAAATAATATAAATAAATAGTAATAAAAATCATACTGAAAAAGCGCTTTTGCCGATAACATTTCTTTTATGCACTCTTAGGTACTTGCATGAGTGCATGATCTTATGCATATAAATTATAGTTGCTGATTATTAAGAAGAAAGCATTTCAGGAAACTGAAAGTGATGGAGGTATTTGGGAAAGAGTATTTTTCTAAAGGTGACGAATGCTTGTAGAGCTTTCTGTTGGCCGAGTTGTTATGTTGATGACAGATATTAAATATGAAAGTAGGAAACCAAATAAAAGGCTTTAAGGTTTTGAACTTGGAATAAAATTAGCAGTACATTAAATAAGTGAACATTTTAAAAAATCACATAAGTTTTTCCTGAAGAAGATAATTTTCTTTCACTTTCATTAATTTCATAGATCCTGTGTACTAGATCATACAAACGAATTAGTCTGTTTTTTCAAATTAGTATATGCTGAATCAGACATAATTATCCGAAAGTTAAAATATTAGCTTACCAATAAGAGAGTGCCTGTATCTAATTTTTAACAAATAGGGTACAGTTAATTAATATTTTAATATGTATTTTGTATTCTATAAAAATGTATACTGTTTAGTTAAAAAAGATCAACAGACAATCATAAAATTTTTCATTAAAATTTGCTTTACGTCTCAAAAACCTAAAAAGGTCTATCATTAATACATTTTATGGAAGATTTGCTGTATCTGTTTAAATGTCACAAACTATCGTTTTTCTCATAATTAGTTACTGATGTTATGACTTTTCAGTGATCAATAACTATGGGCCGCAAAGCTTCGCCCAGCCGACGTCACCGGCCAATAGCCGTGGTTTCCCGGCTACCAACAGCCCTGGACCCATCGACCTCTATACCTCTGGTCAGGACAGTGTCGGCTATGTGCAGGCCACCAGCCCCCAACCCACGGGCTTCCCACCTATTGCTGTAAGTAGGGTAAGTAATACTCTAGCTCGCGTGTGTTAGTGACGCGTTCGGGTGTTTATTGGAAATTTGTTGTCGCAGATTGAGAATTATGCTGCCTAAAGATAAATGAACCGTGATCTTCGAAGTATGGAAATGTTTAATTTAAAAAGAGGTTCATCTTCAAAGATAATCTTCTTTCTTCGGACATGAAATAATTATAAAAGTTATTTAAAAAAAAAAGAAATTCTATTTAATTTAGTCAAAATATTCTGAAGGCAATGAAAAAGACGAGCTAATACTACGGGATGCTGGAAATATGCCACCTCTAGTATAAGGCATGTATAATTTACGGTGTACATACTGACAGCTCTATGACAGCTGTATACAAGCGGATTATTCCTAGAACTGCTTTTATATGAAAATCCTTTCCTATAACTCTTTCCTATAACTAAACTGTGAAGATCCGGCGCAACAAATTTTGCGCTCAGAGCAGTAATTTCAAGATCTTTCTACTCATCTATCGCAGCTATGAAATGTTTTGTTCCACTACCAATGGCATACCATTACTGGCACGCTTCCAAAGCATTTAAACCCGTCTATTGGGCATGCATCTGAAGGGATTAAAGAGCATGCTTTTTAAGTTAATTTAGCGAGTTGTGCAGTTATGTAGCTGAAGACAGAGGAAAAACGGCGGACCAATTACAATCACGGCATTTTAAATGCGTTGATTTGAATCCCACATGCGCAATTGTGCTCTTGGTTGTGAACAGTACAAAATAAATAAATAAATAAATAAATAATATCTGTATTTACTTGTATAGGTACTTACGTATTATCCCATGACCGTGAAATTGTCACCAAGCAGTGTGATTTAGCTCTAGTTATGGATAAGCGTAACGTAACAGCACACTCATAACATCTGCGTTTTCACTTCATCTGCGTTTTGTTATAACTTTGATTGATTATGAATAAACTATGTTTTATTTTCTTGAACAGAAGGATATAAATTAATTGTCACTGCTGTATTTTTTCGTGCATTTTGAAGGGAAAAAGAATAAAATTTGGGACCTTCCTGCTATGGAACAGTAAGCTGTGGATTATTTTCAAAGTTAAGGGATCCTCAATGAGAAAAGTGTGTATTAATGGACACGATAAGGGTCAGCTGAGTATGGCCGACAAAACCAAGGTAGATTGAAACAATTACCTGCTACTTTGTACTGACAGTGTTCTAAACAAAGCTTCCGGTAAAATTGAAGGGGCTAACAAAACAGCAGAAATTTACAAATGCGTGCTTACAAAGCGCAAAACTGAAGCATGTCGAATAATGATTGTTTATTAAATAAGGAGGCATCAGTTCCTTGAAAGTTCTCCAAGAATGATTGGCGCAACTCCGTCAACTTTTATGGTTTGACGGTGGCCAACTTTCCCAGTCGACGGGTTAATACGTAAGTACTCCAATATAAATTGGCTTTTGTTTAATCTAAAAATTACATTTATCACTTTAATGAATTTTTAATCAAAGATGAGGTTATGACTGATAATTCCCCTAAAAAACTTTAATCCTTATAATGTATTTCAGATAAGAAAATTAATGGTGATAGTTATTTTAGCAGCAAATTACATTTCCTGATATTCCAATGTTATAATTTAACTTCTAAGTACCAGATCTGTGATACCACATGTTCAGTCAAGTTTTGCTAAATTATATCAAATGAATAATTACATGAAGCGTACACAGTAGGCCTTTCTTCCGATGGCTTAAAAGAATCAGTTTGGTAACGCAATTCTAATCCTTGATGAACAAGCTCATTGAGCAACTATAGTACTTGTAGAGTGACATTTTTATTTTCATGATAGTACCGTAATTTCGCGCGTATAGTCCGCGGACTATCTGTGTTTAAAATGCGAATTTTTGAAGCTGCGGACTATCCACCTGTGCGGATAATACGCTGGTTGTTCACGGTTAAAATTGTTGAAATTTAAAAAACACGCTGTCGTGAACTGTCGATGATCAAATATAAAAAAAGCGCGAGATTCCAAGTATCCTTCGCATTGCTTTAGCACAACTGCCGGGAGGGGGAAAAGTAGTTGATGCGTCTGCTCGGTTTTTAGGAGCCATAGTAGCAATTACCTGGAGTACGAAAAAAAAAAAAAAGCGTGATTCGTTTACTCATAAGCGTGGTTTGGCCTTGGCATGACACCTGAGTGAGTGGGGTTCGAAGGTCAAATTTCATTACCACTTATCACGAGGATAGCACGTTGCACAGTATTTTATTTTGTTTTCGTATTTTGTCTTTTCATCTTCGCTAACGTTGATGAAACATCCGCCGGAGTTTTACTGTTGAGTTAAACTGCTGAGAGGTAGTTGAGAAAACTGAAAAAGATGGAAATAGAGAAGCGGGCCGTTATTGGTTTAATCCTAGTATCCGGTGCACACGGGATTTGACTACTTTTGGCGACTTTATGATGAGCAGTAAAAACGGGACATATACGATGAGTAGTTAACGGGTCATTCAAAGAAAATATATAGTTAAACATAGTATATACTATGTATATAGTATATATACTATGCGTGTATAGTATATATATAGACGTTCTTTGGATCATTTTTGGTGTTGGCGATAATTTTCAAAGTCGCGCCAAGGCTGCACCTTATACTAGGATTTTACTCCGTTATTTTGAAGTGGACAAGAAAGCGGTGAGAAATTTGCGCAAACAAAAGATGTGTTTAAAAAGCATGGGAATATTGCCGTATTAAAAAAACGTAATTTCGGACGTATAGTCCGCGGACTATCCGGTGGTGCGGACTATCTGATAATTTTTAAATTTTTTTTTTATATAAAATCGTGTCTGCGGACTATACGATGGTGCGGACTATACGTGCGAAATTACGGTACTTGAAACTAAAAATGATAAATTTGTAAAACAATACAAAATGCCATACTAAATGTCATTTTTGTAATGAATTTTCATATTTTTTTAAAAGTTAATAATTGAAAAATAGGAAATTACTTACAGTTGTATTAATAAGTTTTAGGTGAAAATTATGTATTTTGCTTTTCTTCTGACTTTTCATAGCACCAAAATGCACTTATTCAATGAATGGTAAATAAAGTAAGTTTTACAAGAGTTGGAGTGAAACTAAACTAAAGTGTCTTGAAATTTTGCTTGCAACTTTCTTTTAAACATTCCTGATTTTGTGCAGACAACTTGTAATTTCATTTCACTCTTTTCCTTACTTATATCTGTTATTTTCTAAATCTTTGATCTTCAAATGAAATTTTTATTAGTAGGCTGTATTTCATTTCATAGTTCAGAACTTCAGTTGTATGATAAATTTCTGTTTTAATAAAGTTTCCAGAAATATTTTCATGAGACTCCAAAAATTAATTCATGAGTTTTATAAATATTTATTAATAATAATCAGGTGTATTCTATTAAAATTTGCAGAGCGCTCGCGTGTGGTCAGTATTCTTATCTTCTTCCGACTCTTGCTGAAATTTTTAAAAAATTCTATATTTAATGTTAAATTCATTCTAGAAATTATCTTATATACCTTCCTCAATTAATTTCCCATTTTCCTTTCCATAATAAATGTTTGTTTTTGTACACGAATACTGTGCAGTCCAAGCATTTTAAGACTACCTCAAGAGAATGGAAAATGTCAAATTTATGTATTTAACCTCTTAAATATGATCCATGTGATTGACACTCTTATTCTCCAACTTTTTTTTATACTTGTCTAACCAGTTAATTTGCTTGTCTGGATGTCTAACGTTTTCACTGTGGTAGTCTTTTAAAAGGAACTTATTCAAGCACTTCAAGTGGAGTTTCTCCCAAGTACAAATTCTCTTTTGATAAAGGAAATGCTTGACAGAAAGTTTAAATGATAGTACAATATTAATGATCTGTAGTTGTGCCCAAAACTGACGAATCATTGCAGCGAATGAGCAGCGACATTGTAATACTGAGGAAATTCTCAAGTGTAAAATATAGTGGGATAAACGGTTAAGTCCTTGAAGTAGGCTGTTCCGAACTGGTACTCATGTACTTTACCGTCGACCATGACGATTGGCGGATATTTTGCCAGACTTATGTCAGTCATTGGAACAGAAGTTTGAATGAACAAATCTCTTTTAGTTAGAAAAATCAACAGATTATGAAAATAGCGAGTTAAAATTATAATTTTTAAGCCCTGAAACCACATTCCTTTTTTTTAATCACAAGTTTTCATGTTGTATCGCGATTTGTTGTCCGTTTTCGTGCCCTTTAACACACTCTTTGCTTTTTTAAATGCATTTTGTATATATTAGGATTTTGCAAACTTGAAAATGTGCCACCTTTTACTGTTACATAAAATGCAAGTCCCAAATTTCAATCATTTTCTCAAAATGCGAGAGGAAAAAAAAAAAAAAAAAAAAAAAAAAAAAAAAAACAGAAATAGAGTTTAACTTATGTGTGTGACAAAAGCAAGGCGAAGATCTTGTGACACCACATTATCCATTGTTGGCGCTAAATCAGACTGATACTTTGATACGAACGTGACTGTGCAGGGTTTCTACTGTGGCAGCAGTACTTCCCTGCAACCTGAGATGTTTCCACGATGGGCATGGTGATGAGGTTTACATGAGTAGATCCCAAGATGGGATTATCAGCATTCAAAAGAAAGAAAATGGCCCAAAAACATAGCTTGGGGAAGGTAAGAATCTGCTGGAGATCTTGGAGAAGGCCAGTACTTCCAAAAGTTGTTGCCCACTGAATATCGAACTGACGATCTGCGGATCTGTAGGTCTATGCTTTATCCGTTCGGTACTCTATTGATGCTCGATGCCTGTGAAAATATGAAGTGACTACGAAGCAGTGGCGACAGCTGTTATTTGCCGGAAATGGTCGACGAAGAAATCCTTATATACCCAACTGCAACTCTCTAGCACAAACCTTTGGTGCACAATTTCTTGGCTATAAAAAAAATTGGATCAGTTTAACACTGACAGCAAAAAATGTTTCAGAGAATGCACTTTATTGTGAGA